GAATGATGAGGGCAATGAATGTACAAATGTGCTTTACACAATTGATGTGTATATGGATTGTGATAAGAGTTGTATGAGCCCCTAATAAAATGATTTAAAAAAAAGAAAGAAACTCACCAAAAACAAGAAGAGGAAAATAGAAAGTGTAAGAAAAAAACACTAAACATATAATAAACTTACTTACCTCTTTAGTAAATAAGGCTTCTAATTCTTGTTCATCCAGGAAGCCATCATTATTGACATCTAAAGTTTAAATGTTACAAATGCAAAACTGGGTTTTTAATACTTTAAAATATTAAAATACAATTATCATTATCAACAATGGTTTTCAATAGTCAAAAAATTAAACTTAGAGCCATTGCGTCCATGCCAACTCATATTGACCCTACAGGCCCTGGTAGAACTGCCCCTGTGAGTTTTCTACTCTTTATATGAGTAGAAAGCCTTTCTCCTGATTTGCAATAGTAATACTAGCATAAGTTATCAGAATGCTGCAGGGAAAAGCTTTTTAATGAAGACTCTACTCAAAGATAACAATTTATGAATATTTATAATTCAGATTTTTAAGAAAAGCATCTCTTAATCAGTTTTTTCCAAAAATCCAAAGCAAAACAATATATTATAAAGATAAAATTGTATGCAAAACTCTTAATATGACCAAATGATTAATTTATATGATATGTGATGTATATGCCAGTAAAACTAGTTTTTAAATAAATTGTAATATTTTAGCAGGAAGTCTATTATCCTCTAGTCAGAGAAACACCTTTACTTTACAGAGAACCTTTTAATAGCAGGTCATATAATGACTCAGGAGTAAAAGAAGCAGAAAGACAGGGCTACTAATATAAAATCTTTTGTGTACTTCAGATAAGCAAAAAAGACTATTATATTGTCCTAGAGGAAAACTCTAAACATTTGTCATCATGAGAATTCAATAGCAAGTCTTGGCAGAAATCAAGTCAGAGTAAAGCAATGATGATTTTTTTATTCCAAATAGAAGAAATAAACATTAGTATTTAATCTGTTACCATGTAAGTTGAAAAATGTCTTGGGGTCAAAATCATTAGGATCCAATCCATCAGCCTCTTCCCATACTTCTTTCAGTTGATCTTTACTTCCCTATGAATTAATTTTTTAATTACTATAATCATATATAATTAAACAAAATGTAACCTATGTGTAGCCTCAAAATATCAATTTGAGAAAGTGTTTAGAATTAATCATCAAAATTTAAGTACTAGTAATTTAAAATAAACTTCTGCTAGCTGGTACAAAAATATCTCTATATGAATATGGCTTCATATAGTGATGAGCCTTACAGGATGATTAACTTTAGGGTGATTTTCATGCTTTTTCTTCATTTCTTCATATTTAGATTCTTCTTCTTTTCTCTTTTCTTCATTCAGTGTTTTTAAATATTCCCTTCTTTCATGTTCCTTCAACATTTCGTATTTTTTAAATTCTTCATGCCGAGTCTTGTCATAGTGTTCCAGATCACTTGTAGCCTATAATGCAACAATACATTTAAGTTAAATAAAAAGAGGGTCTGGAGAAGATAAGTAAGGTCATTCCTAAACACAGCATACAGTTTAACAAGAAGGTACAAAAAGACCAACTAAAGTCTTCTTTTTAATTATTTTATTGAAATCATTATTGTTATTACAGGTACTGGCATTCAAAAAAATGAAGAGTTCAAAGCTAATTGCACCTTGAAAAAAGAAAGGAACTATACAATACTGAAAACTAGAATGGTTCTGAACCATTTAACAAAATGTAATATACAATATAGCACTAGAAATCTACACACTCCTATCTAAAATCCAGAGGATATTGGTTGTTTCAGAAATTTCTAAGTTTTAGAAAGGTAACATAGCACACAGGCTCTGTATGGAACAAATCTGTAATGTCTATATTTTAACAGACTAGTATTTAAGGATATCTATAAATAATTCTATTAAAACTAAAAGCTTAACTATGCTTCTATGATTGGTTTTTCCAGTTTAGTTTTAGTTTTTAGAGCTCTTTGGATTTTAGAATTGTGGATAAAGTAAGATTACAGGCATATCTTAGTTATGTGTATTAACAAAGGTTAAACTACCTCCCTTTATTCTACAGAGTAAATCAAAGGTATGCTACTACTTCCTGAGTTTACTTATCAAATTACAAGACCTAAAAGGCACAATAAAAATATCTTTGGGGAAAAAAAATCTTTGGGAATTATTCTCACCGCTTTGATTAGCATATCTAAATCTGTAGATTCAAATTTGTCAGGATTCATGTGGTTTATATGATCAAACTGTTTTAGAAGAGCTTGGTGGTCTATGCCTACATCTGAAAGACAACCAAAAAAACCTGAAAATGATCAACTGTTAGAAGGTAGAAACATTTATATAAACAAAACATAATAAGCATTTACATTTATTCTTACAAGCTTTTTGAGAAAATTCAAACTTTTAAGTCAAGGATTCATATTTTATTTCAAAGTATTGTAAATATTATGATTCTAGGCAAAAGGAATGTCCTTGAATCCAGAATGGAGTACAACTTAGTACATACATTTTGTTGCTGCTTTCTAAAGACTAGTTAACTACTAGGGTAGTTAATAATATTTGTAGAATTTTTTAAACTATCAAATTTTCTTCTTTTAATTAGATAAACGCTATAGTATCCTCATCAAAAGTTTAAGTAATGTTTCTAAAAAGAATAACTACAAAATGTATATGAAGGAAGAAATTTTTATGCCACGCCAATGAATTTTTTATGGAACAATAAAAATCTAATTCAGGTAATTTCAGCTGAATTTTAACTTTTTTAAAATTATGGCATTTTTTAAGAAGCATCTGCTGTTTTTTGTAAAAAATAGAAAGCACACACTCCAGTTTATTGTAATTGAATGGATGATACAGTCCTCGACTATTCTGTTGTAGGACTGAACAATAAGTACCTATGTTAATGTAGTGGAGGTCAGAGTGTTCAATGATGAAGAAAGAATATACAAATACGAAATGGTAGAAAGCAAGAAAAAATACTGTGGGAAATGATGCACATTAGTGCTGTGTGACCTCATTATTCTTCAAATCTGTATCCATTAAAGGCATATGCATGTATGCTGTATATGTATATATGGACGTGGGTATAATTTGTTTATGTGTATAGGTATGCATATATGTCCTAATTCCGAATGAAGATCGTTCCCGGAAGAAAGTGCAGGTCACTAGCAACGAGCACACACACGTAGGGCTCAGTAAGAATACTATTCTCCATTATTAAGAGCTAGGGATCCTCAGAGAAAAAGGCTGGTGAGTTAGTTAATTGTGCCAGCCTGGCCGATAATCACATGTGGTGCTGGTTGAAAGGCGGAGGGATAAATGGGTGGTGAAGCCTCGCCTTTCTAGTTCTCGGGTCTCTTGTTTTGTGATGGTTGTATCGGGTGCAGCTGCCTTAGCATTTTCCTGCTTCAGCTTGCAAGATTGACTTCCTCCAAGACATCCCCAAGGAGAAGCCGCATGGATCTATCCTGATGCAGCCCTGGGTGCTGGAGCAGCCGCGTGGAGACCCCTGCTAGTGCTGCGATGCTTGTTCGTTCACGGACTCAGCTTTCCTCCTGCAGCCGGCATCATTGCCTCTGTTTTGTGAGGTGGAGGACTTTGTGGACTGGTGTTGGGTTAATGGGTTAATGTGGGACTTGTGGGCTAGGGCAGCATTGGGTTGGGATGTTTTCGTGATGCACATTTTCTTTGCATAAAACTCTCTCTTATACGTGAGTTGCTGTGGATTTGTTTCTCCAAAGTACCTAGACTAATACAGCTGGGTAGGAGCCTTTTGCAAGGCCAGAAAGTACTTTTGTGCAGCCAAGCCTCATTTAATTTTTAGTACTACAAGTTTTACTTATGATGAAAATATGATTTGTTATAAAACCAAGTCCTAAAGGATATAAATGCATTGAAGGATGAAAAAGCACTTAACCTCATTTAAGAGGAGTGCCTATGTAAGTATACTATTATACCATCTAATAGAATTGCAAAATATGTGCAGTTTGATGAGATATACCAATGGCAAGGCTCTGGGGAATTACTGCTTGTGGGAATGTACATTGATTCAACCTCTATGAAGGGAAATGTGACAATATCTATCAAGAGTTAAAATGCATATACCGTTTGATTGATCAATTTCACTTGAACTTATCCTACAGATAATCTTACTTGGATACATAGTGATATACGTACAAGACTGCTCACTAGAAATGACCCACATGTCCATCAACAGGGGCCTGGTTAAATAAATTATGGTATATCCATATAATGGAATTCTATGCAGCTGTAAAAAGAAAAGACGAAGATGGTCTCTATGTACTAATATGAATATAGCTCCAAAATATATTACTAAACGAAAGACAGTACAAAATGTACATTTTATGCCACATTTATATTAGAGATCAGAACTTTGATTTGTATTTACTTATTATGAGAAAGAAATTCAGGAAGGACACTGTTGGAATGGATAAGGTACAAAGATATCAGGGAAATTTTTACTATATACTTTAAAATTTTTAAACCAGGTAAATGTATGACCTACTTTCAGAACTACACCAAAAATAAATTAATAAATAGGGCCCTTGACCCCTTTCTTCAGGTTGTCAGAACTTTTAGCTTATAAATTTAGGATCAATGGGGAAATATGTATGAATATTCTAGGTCACATCAGATTGGTTTCTTTAAATAATAAATTTTGAGGCCTAGTGTGGAATAAAGAAAAGACTGCCAAGTTAGAGACTGTCTAAAGGAAAAAAGAATCTCCAAATACCTTAAGCATGGTTTCTAGGGTGGAAGGACCTTGGGTGTCTGACTACCTGAAGAGGTATGACGTGAGCTCAATCTACCTCTCACTGACATCCTTACTTTAGGATCCTGAGTATGTGATACTTGTCTTTTAGGTCAGTTCGTGAGGAAGCACGTTAATGCTTGGCACCAGCATTTCTCCAAAATACCCAGAAGTGCTTATGTACAATGCACATGACTGCTCCCCAGAATCTCTGAAAGCACTATCCAGTGATCTGCATTTTTAACAAGCTCCCCCAGGTGATTCTTACGCCCCTAATGCTGAAGCATGACTATTCCACCAACAAGGAGCCCTGGTGGCATGGTGCTTAAAGCACTCAGCTACTAACCAAAGTGGTTAGAACATCCATAAGTTGCACTGCAGGACAAAGACTGCAGCCTTGAAAACCCAATGGGGTAGTTCTACTCTGTTCTATAGGGTCACTACGAGTTGAATGAGAAAGCAGTGGTTTTTTAATTTCATCAATAGCAAATGTTCAGGTGTTCTTAATGAAGAACCTCTTAGGTACCCAACCTATATATGGGCATGTCACAAAGGCATAGTAGACAGGGGGTTTCTTCCACTGGATAAATCTGGCTCTGTTCACGGTAATGAAGAAATTTGCCTGTTTTGATCCAGTTCCTTTATGATTTTCACTTTCTACATGTCAATCTCTTATTCATTTGCAGTTAATCCTGAAGTATGGTATGAGTCACAGTAGTAACGTTTTCCAAATGGCTAGCCAGTTGTACAAATATCATTTATCTTAAAATTTCTTTATTCCACTCATGTGAAATGCCACCATTATTTTAAACTAAAGTTCATGTGTACTTCAGTCTAATTCCCAAATTTCTATCCCCTACTTATATGCCCAAACAACAGTTTTAATGACATAGGTTTAATGGTATGTTTTAATATCTAGTCCCACTTCATTACTCTTCTTTTTGTAAGTACCTGGCTGCACTTGCTAATTTGGGGGGTTTTTTTACATGAACATTAAAATTAGCTTGGCAATTATCAGTAAACAGGAAAAAGAAGGATCATTATACTCCCTTTTAACTCTTGATAAAGAGTTAGGATTTCAGAAAGTCAGAGGGATATTTTTACCCTGTCCTATAGAGTTGTTATGAGTTGGCATCAACTTGATGGCAGTGAGTTTTTGTTTTTTTTAATATCAGGAAAATAAATACACCCACCAAAGACCTTTTCCCTGCATGGGCCTGGTAAGATGGAAGAAGATACTGATAAGATTCACCTATGAGAATTGTTACTAGTATTCCCTAGCGTGCTATCCTGCTGTGTATAAAATGAATCCTCTGAGAAGCAGGTGGGATTTCATTACCAGCAAGACCCAAGAGTGAACCACACCCTCTCCACCCAAGCTCTCTATGCAGAGAACCTCCTGGATCCAGAAGACACCATCAGAGGAGCAGCAGCAGAACCAGGAGCCAGAGCATGGAACAGAGTGATAGACTTCCCAACCCAGGGAGCAAGTGCAGCTGAGTGCTTTTGTGTAGCAGGCTGCTGTACAGGGTGAGGTGCCTCTCAGCCCTTATTTGGGGAGGATGGACTTGCTGGTCCATGGAAGTAGAGCTGAGTGTCTTCAGACTGAGGCTTACTGGAATAGGGTGCCTCTGGACACTTAATTAAGGGAGCTGGGTTTGATGACCAAAGGAGCTTAAGTTAAATGCCTTCGGGTTGAGGCTTATAGCAGAACTGTATGCCATTTGGGCATTTATTAGCAGACTTGACAGAACTTTGTAACAAGGCCTGATAAACAACTCAACCCTGATCATTTCTCACTGGCATAACTTAACTTCCTTAATAAACCCTTTAATCATGAATTTTGTCTGCGAGTTGTATAGTCATTGTAATGGATATTAGAGCCCAGAGAAGTAATATAGAAAACACTAAGCTCTTACAGGATCATGTTCAATTTAAAAACTAAACTAAGGAGAATTGACATGTTTATAATACTGAATCTATCAAAAAGATGTTATGTCTTCCCATATGTTCCCATCAAACCTACTTTTGGGTTCTTCAGAAGTATAAAGTTTTGTACAGAAGTCTATCATATTTGTCAATAGGTTTATTTGGGGCTACCTTACCTTTGTCGGAGCAGCTCTGCAGAAGAAGGACAGGACCTTCTATTCAGGTAGAGGGTACTCTAGGAAATCCACGGGGGCAGCTCTACCCTGTCCTATAGGGCCACTATTGGTTGGAATCGACTTGATGACAATGAGTTTCTGCTCATTATCTTTATTGCTATTGTATTATTATAAATGGGGCCTTCCATTATATCTTCAAAGTACCTGTTATCTGTACATATGAAAACTATTACCATATATACAAGGTTTTTCTTGCTAAATTTTCTCATTACTTTTCGTAACGTTCTCATTGATTGCTTTGGGTTTTCCATGCATACAACCTGCAAACAGAGATGGTTTAATTGCCTCCTTTCCAATGAAAGACTGGGCTTTCTACCTCCATAAACAGTTACAGTTGTGGGCACCTACAGAGGGTCACTATGAGTCAGCAATGACTCAATGGCAGGGAGTTGGGTTTGTTTTGGGGGGTCCTGTGACTTTATCTCTAATTTTTTTCATAATTGTTTTGACTAGTACCTCTAATACAAAGTTAATTAGTAGTGCTGGTAGTGCACATCTTTGACCTGTCCCAGATTTTAGTCAAAATACACATCTTTTGCCCATTAAATATGATGTGACTGAACTAGGCATACCTGATCATGTTATCTAAGTATCTAATAATTGTATTATTTTTATTCAATCAAGAATAGGTGGAGGTGTTGAAGGGATCAGATATCAGGCATCAAAGAACAAAAAATCATATAATTGTGTGTTCTCCTTCCCGGTACGATCGCTGAAGACAAATGGCTGCATGTGGTGGAGAAAGCTGATGGTGCCCGGCTATCAAAAAATATAGCATCTGAGGTCTTAAAGGCGTGAAGGTAAACAAGAGGCCATCTAGCTTGGAAGCAGCAAAACCCACACCAACCTATGTGATCACAAGGTGTCAAAGGGATCAGGTATCAGGCATCAAGGAACAAAAAATCATATTGTGAATCAGAGGGAGTGCAGATTGGGACTCAAAGTCCATCTGTGGGCAACTGAACAACCCCTTACAGAAGGGTTGCGGGAATGAGACGAGCCAGTCAGGTTGAACTGTAGCAACATTGAAACATATAACTTTCCTCTAGTTCCTAAATGCTTCCTCCCCCTCCACTATCATGATCCCAATTTTACCTTACAAATCCGGCTAGACCAGAGGATGTACACTGGTACGGATAGGAACTGGAAACACAGGGAATCCAGGACAGATGATTCCCTCAGGACCAGTAGTGAGAATGGCGATACCAGGAGGATGGAGTGACAGTGGGGTAAAAAGGGGGAACCAATTACAAGGATCTACATATAAAATCCTCTCAGGGGGACAGACAACAGAAAAGTGGGTACGATGTAACAACGATGAAAAATACAACTTTCCTCTAGTTCCTAAATGTTTCCTCCCCGTTCCCACTACCATGACTCGAATTCGACCTTGCAGGTCTGGCTAGACCAGAGGATGTACACTGGTACAGATAGGAACTGAAAATACAGGGAATCCAGGGCGGATGAGCCCTACAGGACCAGTGGTGTGAGTGGCGAAACAGGGAGGGTAGAGGGAGAGTGGGTAGGAAAGAAGGAACCGATTACAAGGAACTATATGTGACCTCCTCCCTGGGGGACGGACAACAGAAAAGTGGGTGAAGGGAGACGTCGGACAGGGCAAGATATGACAAAATAACAATTTATACACTATCAAGGGCTCATGAGGGAGGGGGGAGCGGGGAGGGAGGGGAGAAATGAGGACCTGATGCCGGGGGTTTAAGTGGAGAGGAAATGTTTTGAGAATGATGAGGGCAATGAATGTACAAATGCACTTTACACAATTGATGTGTATATGGATTGTGATAAGAGTTGTATGAGCCCCTAATAAAATGATTTTTTTAAAAACCAGAAAAGTGGGTGAAGGGAGATGTCGGACAGTGTAAGATATGACAAAATAATAATTATAAATGATCAAGGGTTCATGAGGAGGGGGGAGCAAAGAGAGAGGGGAAAACATGAGGAGCTGATACCAAAGGGTCAAGTAGAAAGCAAATGTTTTGATAATGATGATGGCAACAAATGTTAAAATGTGCTTGACACATGGATGGATGGATGGATTGTGATAAGCATCATACGAGCCCCCAATAAAATGATTTAAAAAAAAGAATAGGTGGGTGCGCACATAAAAAAAAAAGATGTTAGATTTTTTTCAGATGCCACTTTTTGTATATCAGATGTGATAATATGAACTGAGATCATTTTACGATACCCTTGTATTTCAAATTTTCATAACTATTTAATTTTTCCAGTCTAAAATTAAAATAATGAGTTTCAAATATTTATTCCCACTTATATCCTTTGACTTTGAATTCTTAAAAAAAAACAAACATGCTTAAGTTATTTTTATCTCTATACCCTACTGCCATCAAATTGATCCCAATTTTTAAAAAAAAATGATTCCAATTATAAGAGTAACCCTATAGGACAAAGTAGATCTACCTCATAGAGTTTCCAAGTCCATACATCTTCACAGAAGCAGGTTGCCACGTATTTCTCCTACAGAGCTGCTGGTGGGTTCGAACCACCAACCTTTTGTTTAGCAGTCAAGCCCTTGACCACAATGACACCAGGGCTCCCGTTTTGCTCCTTAGGTTTATTCATATGGTGATTTATAGTATTTGATTTTCTAATATCAATCAAGCTTCCATTACTGAGATAAATCTACTTGCTATGACATAATAATCTTTTGCCACATAACTTTGGTTTTGGCCAAATAAGAATGTGGAAGCTTTACTTTTTTGTGTGTGCTTTGGAGTGATTTAAATAGCGCTGACAACCTGCTTTGTTAGTCTAATAGAATTCCATTGGGAAATTGTCAGCGTCTGGTGTTTTTGCATTAGGTGTGTGACAATTTTTCTACTTAGATTTTCTCACTCCGCTTTCTTTTGCCTTATGTTAATGTGATCTTTCCTTTAAAATCAGTTGTTTATTAATTTTTACCTTTTTTAACATATTGCTATTTAACTATGAAGGGACTTCAAATATTCATGGAAAATTGAGTTAATATAGTATATTTTTCCATGAACTTTTTGAAGCCCCTTTATATTTAAAATTAATAATTGCTTTGAATTTTTAACAATGTGACGATATTTTTTTTAATTGTAATTATAAAAAGATCAATACTAACCTTAAATTTTGACTAAAAGAACATGGCATGTGTTTAATGTAATTGTGGACTTAACATTAATAAAATGTAAATTGATCTCAACAAACGAATATAAAATTTTTCCTACCTTTTCTTTAACACTTACCTTGAAGGGAATCCAATTTTGCTTTAATGAGCATTCTTAACCTTCCTACTTCTTGCCTTTTCATTTCATCTAATTTTGTCCTTACACGGTGACTTACAAAATCCAGCTCTTTGCTTAGCCTTCCACTCTGTTAACAAAATTAGTTTTATCATTACTATACAATTTTATGTGACACTCAATGATTCTAAAAGGGTTGTGAGAGTAATAAATAATTTTGACTTTAGATAAATTTGCTTACACAAGTATTACTTTCAGAAGAGATTTAGCTTATAATTCTAAAATCAACATGTCTCAAACCCCTATAATTTAGTAAAGTATAAATAATAAACACAAAAGAGAAATTCTTAAATTGGAAACTGGTACTACCACTTTAGAAAAATTTGGCAGGTCCTCAAAAGTTAAATGCAGAGTTATCATATGGCCCAGCACTCCCACTCCTACGTACATACCTAAGAGAAGTGAAAACATGTTCACAAAAAAACATCTGAAAATGAATATTCATAGAAGCATTATGTATAACAGACAAAAAGTAGAATCCAAATGTTCACTGACTGATGAATGGATAAACAAAATGAGGTATAATCATACAATTGAATACTATTTGACCATAAATAAGGAGAATTAACATATAACACAACATACATGAACTGTGAAAATGCGCTAAAAGAAAGGAGCCATCTACAAAGCTCCATAAAGTATATTGTTCCACCCTGATACAACCAGACCTCTGAAGCTGGAGAAACCATGTAGAAATCCCTGTCAGTGATGAGATGCTTACAACACCATTGGATCCAATGACTTTCTACCCACTGGCCTGTGATCATCCTGCATTCGATGTCTTTGCATGTATTTTGTGAGTCTGAAGAGGACTTTATAGATTGGTATAGGACATATGGGCTAATATCACACTTATAGGCTTGGACTGGACTGAGTTGGGATGCTTTCTTAATGAACAATTACCCTATATATAAAACTCTCTCTTATACACACACAAAAGTATATTGTTCCATTTATATTAAATGTCCAAAATATGAAACTCCACAGAAACAGGAACTAGGTTAGTAGTAACCAAGGGCTGGGAGGAGGGAAATGGGGAGTAATGACTTAAAGGGTACAGAGTTTCTTTTTTAGGTGATGAAAATGATCTAAAATTAGATAGTGATGTGTTCCATTTCTCCAAATATACTTAAAATCACTAAACTATATACTTTAAAAGGGTAAATTTTATGGTATGTGAGTTCAATTCAAGAGAATCTTGGCCTCTTCATTTCATTAATCACTGGCCATTCCGTATGTAAATAGTTATTCAAAATTCATCTTTTGTACATTTATTTTTTGGTGACTGTTTTTATAGATGAGTGAGATGGATATCTAGTGGGTAACTTTCCCTTGTTTATAGATGCCTCTGCAATCATGAACTGCAGAGCGAACTAACTTTCAGGACTGAGGCAATGAGGCCGAGAGGGAAGTAGAGACAAAAAAGCCCCAAGTAAATAATGATCAGAGAGGCCGGAGAAGTAGGAGAAACAGGAGAATGCAGTGATATTAAAGAAAAGGAATAAAAGTACACTTCCGATAAAACAATAGTTCACTAAGCATGGGGTCAAGCCCGAATCAATCATTAGCATCTCCTGAGAATTTGCTAAAAATGCAGGCCAAGATTTACTGAAAGAGAGGCAATGGAGGTGGGGCCCCAAAATCTGTGCTTGGACAAGCTTTAACATCTGAGACTCCCTGAGGTAAAATATAAGAGTAAGATGAAGGCTGAAGGTGTTCACTGGATTTGCCAGTGAAGAAGCCACTGGCAGCTTCCATGAGAGTGCAGTCCATGAAGCTGTGGAGGCTAAGGTACACTCTTTACAATCAGGGAGGGTTTAGAAAGTGAAGAGATGTAAGTTGACTCCCCCTTCAGAAGGCTGGTTCAAAGGAAATGAAAAACCCTATTTTAAAAATAATTTAATTTTCCCAAATGAGATAAGATTCTTAGCTACTTGTACTGTGTTGACTTGAGTATTTTTTTTTAAAACATTTTATTAGGGGCTCATACAACTGTTATCCCAATCCATACACACATCAATTGTGTAAAGCACATTTGTACATCGTTTCTCAAAACATTTTCTCGACTTGAGTTTTTATTGTCTATTTTCACTCATCTTTTTTTCATTGACCATTTATTTAACTTCAGTTTTCATTTTCATCCACAGAAAGAATTGACTGTGAAAGGAAGATAATTATAAATTTATCCCCTCCTAATTACAACAGGAAGTCCTTGATAGAGTAGAGAAAAAAATGTGGAGCAAAACTACAAATTGAAAAACAAAACAAAACAAAAAAGCAGGCTTACTGGACTGTTAAACTGGTAGAACATCAAGACTGGCTCTTAGTGACCCCCTTTTAAGCTACCCCTGTCACTCAGAAAAATAGAAGGCCTAAAAGGTGCAGAATAACACTAGGTGTATGCACTTCCTAGATCAACCAATTACAGAAGACATAGCCTTTGCCTTGAGAAAGCTCCAAAGGCAGGGGAAAGATGGTCAGCACTGGGGAGGTTGGAAGAGTGCTGGGACCTTGTGGGGATTGCAGCCGATGGCATGAATCAAACGTGCATAAACTGCTGAATGCAAAATCAATTTCCCCTAAATCACAATAAAAGGTAAAAATCAAAAGTATCCTGATCCCAAGCCAGGAAAAATATCATCTTCTTTCCTCTTGTTACTTCTTTCCCATTATTTTTTCATGTCATCTCCAAATAATGTTCTTAGTCCTAATTTTAACTGAATAGGAGATAGTTCTACATTAAATATAATTTGACTGATTTCATAGAACAAATTAATCCTTCAAAGAAACAGCATGATTATACCTATGGATAATTCAGGAGAACCACTGCAGTCAAGAAAGGACAAATGGAAAAGGTAAACACAGGAAGGAAGCGGAAGAGTGTTGTTGCATTGTGCAGATAATATTCAATGTCAAGAAACAATGTCTTTCCAACCTCATGTTCTAGATACTATGGACTCCACTTCCTACCCCAGGTTCCAGCAATAGATACTTCTTTTATTAGTTTCCTCTATATCAGCAGTTCTCGAAGGACCCTTTCACAGGGGTCGTCAGATTCATAACAGGAGCAAAATTACAGTTATGAAGTAGCAACGAAAATAACTATGGTTAATTTACAAATTATCAAGGGTTCATGAGGGAGTGGGGAGCATGAGGGAGGGGAAAAATGAGCTGATACCAAGGGCTCAAGCAGAAAGCAAATGTTTTGAGAATGATGAGGGCAACAAATGTACAAATGTGCTTGACATATGGCTATATGGATGGATTGTGATAAGAGTTTACGAGCCCCCAATAAAATGATCAAAAAATAATAATTTTATGGTTGGGGGGTCACCACAACATGAGGAACTGTATTAAAAGGTTGCGGCATTAGGAAGGTTGAGAACCACTGCTCTATATCTTGGTTTAGGATGGCTCCCAGCCTTGCCCTTTTTTCAGTCACATATTAAAGCACTAACATTATCTCCACTAGAAAAAATTACCTCCTGCCTTTCCCAGTTGCTTGATACTAGATTACATGTCACTGGATACTAAACTCTGTGTCCTTCCTCTGTATCTCCACAATGGTTTATACACTCATTGGGTATTTATCCTAACATTCTATTTCTAACTATAATTCTTAAGTGCTCCTTAAGGGCTGGAAAAGAGTCCCATCTTTATATCCCTAGCACTAGGTTCCGAGTCTGGCACGCTCCGATGTCTGTTGAATAATTGTTAATATTTACCTTTATTTCTTCTATGTCTGCTTTCTGGAGTTTTTCTCTGAAGTGGTTATCTGTTTCCAGAACATCAATCACTTGTTTGAGATATTCATCATAATAAAGTCCAGTATCCTTCAAATTAAGAAACAAACATGGAGCAATTGCACACAACACTGCTTGATATGACTGAACTATGAAATGGTATAATGT